TGCTGCAAAAGGCATGTGTTTATTTTTTTTTGGTTGCTGAGTAATATTCCATTTGTATATGTAACACATCTTTTCAATCCAGCCATCTAATTTTGGGCATTTAGGTTGTTTCCATGTCTTTCCAATTGTAAATATGGCAGCACTAAACATGGGAGTTCAGGTGTCTTTTCGAATCAGTGTTTTTGTGTCTTTTGGGTACATACCTAGGAGTGGGACTGCTGGGTCATATGAAAGCTCCATGTTTACCAAAAAATTTCACTATTTTATGTTAAGACAGTTTAATGTTAATCAAGCAAAATGCATAACAGAAGCCAGAGAAGCTGGTTAAAATGTATCAGTTCATGAAACTACAGGCAAAACATTTTTACTGCTGAGCAAGTGAACATGTGTCATATTCTTTAGAGGGCAATGACTTTCAACCTATCAGATTATGCCCATTTTAAAAAAAGATTTATTTATTTATCATACAAGAACAGGGGTATAGGCCAGAGGTATGGAGAGGATTCACCAGAGATAGAGTGGGGAGCAGAATAGGCAGATCTACTGAAATACACTGCTGAGGGGAGCAGCAGGCAAGACAGGAGAGGTCTGCTGCGCCATGTGGGTCAGCTCCCTGGCCCAGGATCGAACTCTTGTGCTGCAGTGGCTGCAGATAGTTTCATAGTGCTGTGACTTAATCCTTTGCACCACCAGGGAGGCTCCTATCAAACTATGCCCATTTTTTAAACAAATATTTTGTTAAGTTACCCCTTTATTATATTTGACATGAAATTCATACAAAATATTGTCTATTTACAGACACACTATCAAAAAACCAAATAAATACAATATTCTAATTGCAATATGAAGGAAAAATAAAAGAAAGTGCACTTAATAAAGTAGTATACATTCAAATTTATAACTGTACTGGCAGGACAATGCTAGAAGACAGAATTTTTTAAGTCTTGAAGGATGTGGTAGCACATAATAGAATGTCACTTGGTAGAGAACAATAGTGGAGAAAGGGGCCTCTCTGGTGACACGAGGATGAAAGTCTCAGTGCTATTAAACTAGATTCCAGGCCAGGGAGCTGACCCACATGGCGCAGCAGACCTCTCCTGTCTCACCTGCTGCTCCCCTCAGCAGTGTATTTCAGTTCATCTGCCTGTTCTGCACCCCATTCTGTCTCTGGTGATCCTCTCACCAACCCCACCTCTGACCTACACCCCAGTTCTATAAATAAATAAATAAATAAATCTTTATTAAAAAAATCGGAATGAAGGCCCTCCCTGGTGGCGCAGCGGGTTAAAGCACAGCACTGAGAATCTAAAGCTGCTTCCGCATGAGTTTGACTCCCGCCTGCCCCGGAGGTGACCACATGGCATGGCAGACCTCTCCTGACCCGCCCGCTGCTCCCCTCAGCAGTGTACTTCGTCAATCTGCCTGTTCTGCTCCCCACTCTGTCTCTGGTGAAGCCTCTCGCCGCCCCTGAGCCTCTGGCCTGTACCCCAGTTCTGTATGCACAAATACATAAATCTTTAAAAAAAAAAAAATCGGAATGAAAAACCTATGATAGTTGTTTAGTAGAACAGGTACAGCATCTGTAAAAGACCTTCATGGCTTTTTTTTTTTTAATTTATTTATTTGTGCATACAGAACTGGGGTGCAGGCCAGAGGTTTAGGGGCGGTGAGAGGCTTCACCAGAGACAGAGTGGGGAACAGAACAGGCAGATCGACGAAGCACACTGCTGAGGGGAGCAGCGGGTGGGTCAGGAGAGGTCTGCCACGCCATGTGGTCACCTCTGGGGCAGGCGGGAATCGAACTCATGCGGAAGCGGCTTTAGATTCTCAGTGCTGTGCTTTAACCCGCTGCGCCATCAGGGAGGGCCCCCTTCATGGCTTTTCATGTCACATTTTACGTTTCATTAGAAATCTAGCTGAGATTTCCAACTTACTTTACTGCCTTTCCTACATTATTGAACTCCAGTATAAATTCATTTCAAATGAGTAAAATTCTCATTATCACGAGAACTGAAAAGAATATAAAATGTAATGTCTATTGTCAAAGTTTGGATTATGGTTATGAGTACTGCACTATTCATCTGTAGAAAGAAATAATTAGAATCTAGATGACTTCTAAAGTGCCTTCCAATTTTAATTCTCTATGACTATTATTTCTACATAGTTGAATCACTGGGAAATTAACATTGCATGATGAAATGAGGCAATTTATGATCTCAGCTACACTAAAGCTACTCTCTTTGTGGCTCAAGGTTTCTTAGAATACTGAGCTAAAAATGTAACCGCATTCTGCAACCAATGCAAACTTGTTCTAATTGATGGGAGGGGAAAAAATTCACTCCAGAGTGCCAGCAATTCCTCTGTGAGCTGGTGTGGCAGGGAGAGTCAGTGGGGTCAGTGAAGCATCAAGTTACAGACCAAATTAAAGGTCTGGAGAGGAGTGGCAGGGTCTAATCATCGCACTGCTGAGGCTGCCAGCATTGGGTCTACCAGCCTTAATCACTCACAAAGGACTTCTCTACAGAGGCAAAACAGACAGACCCAGGGCTTCAAACATCTTTTATTTTAAAAGCCTTCAGTTCCAAATAGATCTTTATGGAATTATTTCCTTGAAGTTTTTAGTTCTGTCATATTAAAATTTCCATGAAAAAGTAATCAAAACCTAATGCTTACAGTGTTCTGCCACAAAGAAAAATATTGTGGGTTTGTGTTCCTATTAAAAACATGTGTTATACATATATACATAATTATGTAAGTCCCAAACCTAGCGTACACACACACACATACACAAAAACGTTAGGAAAATAATGATAAAAGTTTCATCTACCAACAAAATTTGTAACATTATCTTGTTCTCTGTCCATAAAGCCCCTCATTAAGCCAGAGCTTGAGGTCCACAAGCTTCTCAGCATATTTCCACATAGCCTGCAAATTCTAAAACTATAAGGATGAGTTAAGGTCACTTAAATTTCACACACAGTACTTTCTGGACTTGGTTGGTTGAATCATGAGCATCTGCACTATTTTTCCTACAGAAAAGTTAATTTTAGAAAGACAGAAGAAGTTTGCCAAGAAAACAATCACATTGTCTTAATACCTAGACAGTGACTCTGTTCTTAAAAGTTCAGAATGCTTTCCAGTCTCCTACTTGTCCTTTATATCCTTGAAAGCAGGTCCAAATAGCAGGTCCCTATTTTGTAACGAGTATCCTATTGCATAAAATGTTTCATTTAGTATTGTATCTTCTCTATGGTGTTTTTAAAATTCCTCCATTCTCTTCAATTTTCCTTTTACGTTCCCTGCTACTAACACCCTGAGAGTTTGCTAGAGCACAGGTACACACGTAGATAAACAGGAAAAGCAGAAGACACTCAGCCAGAGCAAAGTGAAAGATGGAGAAACATTCGTGGTATTTGCATACTTGCGCAAAATAAAATGCAATTGATTGTGTAAATGAAAATAGTCTTCACCAACTCAGGGTAGGAGAGTTTGGTTCAAATAATTAGTTGTGTAAACAGGGTCTAAATTAATGTTTATGATTATTTCTCTTTCTAATTCTAGAGATAATAGTACATTTGGGTCTTTAGCCTTAAAAAGAACAACAAGTAAAAATGCCAGTAGTCACTGGCAGAAAATCAATCCATGCAGCCACAGTGAAGGAAGATGTTCTGATTCCTTAGAGAGCAGGCCTCAGTCCTTTCTAAGTGGTCAGAAGATCTGTGAAGGCATTATTATGTTTTTAAAATCGACACTTAAGAGCTAACTCTTTAAGAAAGGCTTTTTAAAATAGGGGCTTCTCTCCTTTCCATACCCACCATTCCAGTGAACCTTAATCCTTCCATCCCCAATGACATCGCACCAAATTCATCAGCTTGCTGGGAGCCAGTTTTCTTTACATTTTTCTTCTCTATTCATATTAATATATCCAGGGGATGCTTCCCAATAATAGGTCCCCCCTCTCCCCACTATGTGGACTTTACTTTCAAGTGATTATGAGAGAGAGCCTTTTTAGATATAGGGAAGCATGAGTGCGTACACACGTGTACACACACACACAGAGTAGACGTCTGAATCAGGATCGCTTTAAGCTGTAATAAAGTGTTAGCATCATAGTCACCCCGAAAACCGTGGTAATATACCACAGTGTTTAATGCTTGGTCAAAGTAAACCCCAAAGAACCTCAACCTCTCTTTTTCGGTGCATTTCCAAAAGATGAAGATGGCACACTTACCTTGACCTCAGTCCACATCCTATACAAAGTTAGGATAGTAAGGCTTGGGAGGGAGAGGGGCTGGCGGCGCAGAGATGTGTGTTATTTCAGCTTGGGGATCATTGCACGCTCCAGGGGAGAACCGTGCGTCTGTGTTGGCGCCATGCACCTGGACACAGTGGAGGACCTTCAGTCCACCACCACCACCCCCAAGCTGGGGTGTAGAGTTTCGGGAGCTGCCCCGGGAATGGAGAAAGTGAGAATGTCGAGAGGTGACTGAGGGCTTGCTCCCGGCGTCCACGCAGCGGGGATGGCGGAGGGTCGGAGTCCCTGGGGGCCGCCCGCCCGGGGACTCGACGCGGCGCCGGAGACCCAGGCGGGGTTCAGGGGGAGCAACGAAGGTGACAGCCTGAGAGGACGAAGCGGCCCCCGCCCGCAGCGATCGGTTGGGGGGTTTTGCCGGGGCCGGCCCCCCCCCCTTTACCTTGACCCTGGGGTGGGAGTGCGGAGCTGGGAGACCCCGAGGGGTAGGAACCCCGCGACTGCTGGCGTCCACTCCGGGGCCGCTGTCAGCACCGCCAGGCAGCGGCTGCAGGTATCAGAGGCCGGCAGGTCTCCTCGCCGGCAGCCCTCGCGTGTCTGGGCGCTCCTTCTCCTGCCCTCGCCCGGCAGCTTGCCTGCTCATCCCCTCCCCGGCCCGTTGCTCGCTCCCCTTCTCCCCCTGCTGTTTACTCCGGAGAGCAGAGCGGTGGCCCCAGTTCCAGCCTTCCCTCCCCCCGCGCTTGCACGCACACACCTCCCGGAGAAACGCTCTCTTCCTGCGAGGAGGCAGCGAGTGCGGTCCTTGAAATTCCGGGGCTGGGCGATTTCAGAAAGCCGGTTTAAAATCTGTGATCTGCCCAATGAGCTTCGAGGTCAGCCTCCGTGATCCTCAGCCGCAACATCACTTAACAATTGATATTCATGATGAAGATCGTGCCCCCGAGGCTTCCCTGCCCGTCATTTTAATGTCCCCAAAAAGCACTCCTTCCATTTTATTGTTTTGAAAAATGTACACGTCCTTGCTAGTTCAACTCAGATTGCCAGACGTTAGATTGGTCTTGAGAGGGATGTGTTCAGATGGACAAGACAGGGCGAGTCTCTTTTGCCAACATTGTCAATACCTGCCACCTGTCAGGGCCCCAAGGCAGAACAAGAGCAGTTAATTACAGTCTGGTTGGGGTTACTGGCATGCCCCAGCCTCGGTCCTCTCGAAGGAGGGCGCAGTTCTGAAAGCAAAGTTCTGGAAAGGAGCTAGTGGACATAATCAAGAAGAGTGTCAATAGCCAGTCAACAAGCAATGGGCAGGGCAAATCCTCCCGAATAATGTGAAAGAGAAGGACAAAGGGGAAGGATCCGTTTCAGACACCTCTTAACACTAAAACGTTGTAGCTGGAAGTGATTTAATCCTTGCTGGGAATGTGGAAAGTGAGTTACTTACTGATTCCTTCCTTTACCCATCGATATATATTTATGTAGTGTAGCATTAGTCATAGTCTCATCCATTAAAAGATGCTTGGAATTAACTTGAGAAGCGACCAGTTGATAACTGAACCCTAGTACATGCAAATTCTACTAGTCTCCATATTCATTCCTATCAATTTTTTCTAAATCTGTTCACAACTTTCTAAGTTGGGGGGGGTAGGGAATGAATACTTTCTAGGGTTGTCAGGGTTCTTTCCTGCCTAGGTAGATATAGAAAGATCAACTCATCAACCAAGCTGTTGCAACTGAAAAGACCAGTTAGGTGGCATAGGAAGAGGGGGTGGGACTAGTATTCTTATTCATTCTCCGCACAGTGGGAACTGCTGGGTGGTAGGAATAAAAGTTAACAAAATCGGTAACATCCCTACCTCCATCAAGTTGAACTGGGAGATAAACAAATAAACAGCGTGTTTGCACACAGAGGGTGTAGGCAAGCCGAGAGAAAGTTGCTTTTAAACTGAAACCTGGAGAGTGAGATGTCCTTTGCTCAAGGACAGGAGAGCTGGAGGAGTATTAGTGTTTTTTTTTTTTTGGGGGGGAGGGGTATCATGGAGGGAAAGCCAAAGGTAAGAAAGGACGATTTCAGAGAATTTAAAGCAATTCCTTATTCCTGGAGTAAGGGGGTGGCAGTGGAAGTGGTTGCAGACGAAAATTCAAGAAACAAGGTGAAAGAGGAAAGCAAAGGTCAGCTTCTGTAGAATCTCCTGGAATCTTCTGGGCCATGTAAAAAATCTTACTCTATGCCTCAGATAATGGAAAGGCCCTTAAATGCTATGACCAAGTCAGACTTTTGCTTTGATAAAGACTTCTAGTGTTAAGAGGAAAACAAAGGATGGGAGGTAGAGATGAGAGGGAGTAATGGAATCAGAGGCATGAGCTCACCAACCCAGCTTAGGGATCCCCAGCCTTTGTGGAATCTAAATTCAGTCCCATTACAAGTCCCTAGAGAGATAAACCTTCCCAGGAGGGAAGAGAATCGGTGGTGGTAAACAAACTGAGAAACAAAAGAGGTATACAGAAATGAGAGATGAGAAAATGGTTGGTTTGCAGACACATGGTATGGGGTGGAGAGGAAATGGGATAAAATCTGAGGTAGGAAGAGGAGACTGTGGTGATGGCACATGGGTGAGTTGGTGGTGGGAAGCCCACAGGGATTATAACTGAGATGGAAAAATGTACAAAATGAAGAATGATGTAAAAAATAAAGTTAAAAAAGAAAATGGTTGGCTTGGGGTGTTTTTAAATATTCCTTACAAAACATTTTCTATAGCACCTCTAATCCATGTAGTTCAATAAGAAAAAGATTGATTTGTAACCAAGTCATGGAATAAGATAGAAGGAAAATTTAACTCACAGGAGTCACTTTGATATATATTTCCAATTCTTACTAGGTAACAGCAAACCTACCCTGGCCCCAATCCCATTCTGAGTTATTCCATTCTTATTATCTTTCTTTCTGACCATCTAATCCATTTTATGACTTTCTTCAATTTTTTTAAGATTTATTTATTCATGCATATAATATAGGGTGGGGATATATGTGTGAGAGGACCCACCAGAGACAGAGTGGGGAGCAGAAGACTGGATTGACTGAAATACACTGCTGAGGGTGAGCAGTGGGTGAGACAGGAGAGGTCTGCTGCACCATGTGGGTCACCTCCCTGGCTGGGGATCAACTCCTACAGTGGTTTCTGATATCTTCATAGTATTGAGACTTAACTCCCTGCACCACCAAGATCCTATTTCTCCTATTATTTTAACTATCTCTTTATGATTCTCCTTTTCTTCCTTCCTTGATTCCTTTCACAAATATTTTTTACTTAGTATGTATATCCTTAAATGCACATATTACTGTGTCTACTATGTTGATAGGATAAATGTTGCATGTACAAAATGATCAAGGCAATGTATGTATGAACTAGGACTCTATGATTGCAAATAACAAAAACAGTCAAGGTAACTTAAAAGAGAAAAATGGAAATTGTTTAGACAATAACAAATTGACACCTGGAAACCAAAGGCTTGGATACAGACAGGCTTCTTTGACAGTCTGGGATCTTTGACAGTCTGGGAATTGAATAGAATCACAAATCTCTGTTCCTTCCTCACTCATCTTCATTCTCTCTCTCAATTCCATATTCCCTGGAAGAGGATTAGCTGGCCTCACTTGAGTCAGAAATCCAGTCAGTGAGAACAGGGTGTCAATTTAATGGTGTAAGACCATGCCTACCAGTGTTCTTCATGTAGCCATGCAGATGGTGGCTGGCACAGAAGGAAGTGTAAGGATGGAAGGGTAAAAGAAAGATAGCTCTAGGCATCCCTTCTGACACAAGGAGTTAAGTCACAGCACTACGAAGCTATCTGCAGCCTGAGTTCAATCCCCAGCCAGGGAGCTGACCCACAATGCAAAACAGACTTCTCGTGTCTCACCCGCCGCTCCCCTCAGCTGCATATTTCAGTAGATTTGCCTGTTATGTACCCTATTCTGTCTCTGATGAATCCTCTTACCCCTCAGTCTCTGGCATGTACCCCAGTTCTTATATGCATCAAAAAGTAAATCTTTAAAAAGAAAAGATGGTCTTACACCATTAAATTGACACCATTGCCTATTTAGAGATCAGTGTTAGAGTTTATGAGAGCAGTTTTAGTGGAGTGCTAGGAAACGGGAGCACACTGTGTTAGGTCAGGGCATGTCAGTCTCAGCCCTATTGATGTTTTGAACCAGGCAGTTATTTAATCCTCATGGTGGCAATTGCCCTGTGCATGACAACACACATTGTAGTAGCCAGCCTTTGCCCACTAGATGTCACTAGCACTCCCCCCACTTGTGACATTGAAAAATGTCTACAAATACATTTTTCCAATAAACATCATCCTTAAGGAGTACTTCTTTTTAAAAGTCTTTCCTTCTCCCCTCCCCAATTTGCAGACATTTATTTACCGTACATTTAATTTTAAGCCCAAGTTGGCTGTGGGACAGATATCCACTCAAACCTTTGCTAGTTTCCTTAAATGAAGAATAAGTAAAAAAAGAAAGAAAAAGAAATAGTTTATGTATAAAAGTCTAGATGAGGGCCCTCCCTAGGTTAAGGCACAGCTCTATGAAGCTATGAAGTTAGCCGCAGCCACTGCAGCATGGAGTTTGATCCCCGGCCAAGGAGCTGAGCCACATGGCACAGCAGACCTCTCCTGTCTCACCCACTGCTCCCCTCAGCAGTGCACCTCGCAGTCTGCCTGTTCTGTGCCCATTCTGTCTCTGGTGAATCCTCTCACCCGCCCCACACCTCTGGACTGCACCCCAGTTCTGTATGCACAAATAAATCTTAAAAAAAAAAAAAA